GTAAGTGCACGATAATTTATTCATCAGTTAATAAAAATATTATTAAAAAAAATCGTTTTTCGTTTCAGGCTTGTATTAGAATGTTCCTTGATCTTGATCTAGTCGAAAGATTCCATATGGACTACGAAGTCTTGTGCAGGTGGTTGTTATCCGTTAAGAAAAACTATAGAAACGTTACTTATCATAACTGGAGGCATGCTTTCAACGTTGCTCAAATGATGTTTTCCATACTAACCGTAAGTACCACAATACAAATTATTTGGACTTGAGAAATTTACTGTTAATTAATTGCAGGCTACGCAATGGTGGAATGTGTTTGGTGAAATCGAAGTACTTGCTTTAATGATTGCTTGTCTCTGTCACGACTTGGACCACCGGGGGACCAACAATTCCTTTCAAATTAAGTAAGTCCGACATATTCTTGTGTTGCCATTTTTTCCTTTACGAATTCTCTTTATCTTTTTCAAGAGCATCGTCAGCTTTGGCCCAGCTCTATTCAACCTCAACGATGGAACATCATCATTTCGACCAATGCATAATGATCTTAAATTCACCGGGGAACCAATTTTTATCGGGTCTTTCGCCTGACGAATACACTAGGGTTATTAAGGTTTTGGAAGATGCCATTCTTTCTACAGATCTAGCCGTTTACTTCAGGTAAATAGAAACGTATTTTACAGTTGGTATCACGCGTGTAGCGAGCAGGGTGGACGGTCATCACTTGACCTGCTTTTTTGAAGGGGTTTCTCTGCAACGTTAATTAAAATTGGTCGCGTTAAATATTGATTTGCAAGTTCCACTACGTTACGCGCGACAAACAATATAATTTTATCGTTGAAATCGTCACATTCGATTTACTAATTGAATTATGGACGACCTATTTGCCAAATGAACCTTCAAAATTCAATTTTGTTTTTATTGGCGTGCAAAACATTTCACACTGAATAACTGACTGATGAACAATGCAGGGTTGTTATGTGAAAGAGTTTATTATTTTCGTGTCTTGTTTTTAGAAAAAGAGGTGCATTTTTCCAAATAGTAGAGGAGGGTCCAAATTGGGCTCTGGAAGAGCACAGGGACCTTCTAAGGGCCATGCTGATGACGGTTTGCGATTTAGCGGCCATCACTAAGCCCTGGGACGTCGAGAAACGGGTGGCGGAACTTGTTTCGTCCGAATTTTTCGAACAGGGTGATATTGAAAGGACTGAACTTAAAATAATTCCTATAGTAAGTATTTCTACAAATTCTCCGTCATTATGTTTCAAAAAAAGAATCTTTTTGTCACGAAAATGGTTTCTTTTTCAGGATCTAATGAACAGGGAAAAGGAGGACCAATTACCCTTAATGCAAATAGGATTCATCGATTCTATATGCCTACCAGTTTATGAGGTAAGCTTAAAAATTTTCAGTTTCGCTATTCTCAGTTGTCAAAAACAAAATGTAAATGAAATCTTGTCTACGGCCAAGTAAAATGCTCAATGCCTTATTGCGCAAGATGGTGACGCTTTTACGGTCCGCCCCATGTTCCGTCTAGGTATAGTTTGTTTACTTTCTGTAGCGATGTGACCTTCAGTTTGACTGGCACAAAGTAGAAAAGAACAGCACTAGGCCAGAAAAGGAAGGAGACAACTCTCGGCCAAACTCTTAACCGGTGAGGAGCGTATAATCCGTACAGTACTGCACGGAAAAATTGACCATTTTATCCACTACAATTGCATTGCTCAAATGTGCTGTTATTGGTACCATTTAC